TGTGACTGCTGTTACCATAACATGAAGGCAGGCCAGAATCAAAAGTGTTGATTTTGAGACCGACATGCTCTCTCTTGGTCTGAGTACAGCATTGGAAGCCAAGCCTTGAATTCTACTCCATTGCTGACACTGATTCTCACTGACTTTGGGCAAATCGGTTATCCCTCTCCTTGCTGCAGATTTGCCCTTTATAGAACCAGGGATTACAATACTTCACTAAATCCCCATTTTACAGATAGGAAAACTGAGGCAGAGTAATTTGCCCATAGCCTCAGAAGGAGGCAGAGTCACTGGGGCTCATTGTGTTGTGGGTCAGTGTTATGTGAGGGCAAATTTTGACTGCTGCTTACCCCCATGGAGCCAAGTTGAGTAGTATTATGACTTGGCTTTGGTGGCAGAGAGATTTTATTTCTTCTGAATGAGTGCAGCTCAAGCGACAGACGGTTTCCTTCCAGCTCTTCATGTATGTTTTTTTCCTTTGAGAGCTGCTTATTCTTCAGAGTAGCTTTGCAGTGTACAGCCCACCTATAGACACAGTCCTCTGGGGATGCCAGTCAAGCTTTTACTTTAACCCTGGTGCAACTGGAGATTTAATTATATCCACTTGATATTCTAGTGGGACTTTCTAGCTCTGCCATCTCTGTGCTTGAAAGAGTTTAATGTGCCTATGTGTCTCTGTGAAGGCTCCCCGGCCTAGCTGGAGGAGGCTGCCTACGCAGTGTCCTGCGATGTGGATAGTCCCCGACAGGCTAATCATCCTGCAAATTTTCCTCATTGTCTAGTTGAATCTTTTCTGACACAATAAGATGAATTGCACAACAGCACACCCGTGCTGGAAGCCTTTTCCTCAGCTGAACGCTGGCAGTGGAAATAATCTACCCGAGCAGCCAAGCACCCATGTAAAATAATGCAACGTGTTTGCACGAGAGACTTTATTCAGCCATGTAGAATAGCATTGTGCAATGGCAGAGTAAACAGACCAGGCCAAATCCAGCCCCACTAGCTACCTGGGGAACCCGTCGCCTGCCGTGAGGAGGATCATGGACTCAGCCTGCTTAAGCAGAGATTTAAAGGGAATGTTCTCCCTGCGCATAAACTAAAAAGTTGTGGGGCTTTGTCTGTTGGCATCATCTCATGATCTGCAATAGGCCTTGTACTGTGAGTGTATTAACAAAGGCCTTTTTGCATAGCTGTGATGGATAAAGCATCTTAAAAATACAAAGCCTTGTAAAGAGTCTATCTAAATGTAGCAGAATCTATGTATTCAGAGGGAGTCCAGGAAATTAGCCAGGCACCATGTGGGGAAAGTTCCTCCTGGTCACAGAGGTAATAAATAGCCCCTGCTGCAAGAATCTAAGGATTAGGTATGGCATAATTTGTATGTGGGAATGATTTAGAAATAATGCTGATACCCTATTGAATTGGCAAGCTGTCTGCTCTCCAAACAACGCCTTCTGGACTTAGCAAGGACCCAGACAATGGTGAAATACGAGATGCAGTGAGTAGGCATTGCCAGGTGTCTGGTTTTCGCCTGGACAGTTCGGTATTTTGGCCTTCTGTCTGGAAAAAAACAAAACAAAACAGAGAATACTGGACATGTAAAATGTTTGGTGTTTTCTGTTTTCCTTGGACGGAAGGCCGTCATCGTCTGCGAGGGCGTGAGGAGTGAGGAGCATGGTAATTTAAAGGCGCAGCGACTTTTTTTTTTTTGGCTCAACCAAATTTTCCCTGCCTGTTTGGGATTTTTTGTGAAGGTATCTGGCAACCCTAGCAGTAAGAGGGGAAGCTGAACGGTCCAACAGCCATGTATGTGTAAAAACAGTGGAAGAAGGGGAAGGGTGAAACGTGTGGGGAAAATAAGCCCCCCGCAGACTCTGACCTGGAGGAGTCCATCCAAAAAGAGATTTAAAAGAATGAGGGGCTCACGTCACCAGCAGAGTGCAAATGACTGCTCTTTCTTCATACAATAAAAACAGCCCACTGGTGGTATGTAGAGGTGCAGATAAAATCCGAGCCTGGTTGTGCTAGGTGCTGTTCATGTAGATAGTAAGAGACAGCTGCTGTGCTAAAGAGCTTACAGTCTGAATAGACTCAGGCAAAGGCAGTAGTATCCCCTTGTTACAGATGGGGAACTGAGACCCAGAGATTGTCAGCAGTCTGCAGTCAGCTAGGGAGCCTGCAGGAGGCTTGGGCTCCGGAGTCACAGTCCAGTGCGAGCACAAGCCCCTCCTTCCTGGCTGTCTGTGGAAGAGCGACGTAAGTTGTAGGCCTCCCCGCGGGTAGAGAAAAGTGACAAGCACGCCTACACCAGCAATCAGAATGCACCTGTCACCTTTCCATCATCCAGGGAGCGGGGGAAAGCAGTGAAGATGATGGAGAGGGGAGTTCCCCTGTGAAAGGCCACAGAGCCATTACCCTTTCCAAGGACGGATGAAGGCTAAACCCTAGAGAAACAGGGTGAACCCTGTCAAAACCGCCATCTGTTGGAAGGTGGCTGTAATTCTTCTTATGCTCAGGAAGGAGACCTCAGCGCTGACTGATAAATCAGAGTCTGACTGGCAGCGTGTAGTGCAGTAGTTTAGCAAAGTACCGAGCAATCAATGACCTCTGTTGCTGGACTTCGACCAAGGCACGAGGCAGGTTTTGGTCAGTACTTTCCTCATGAGACCACTTGCATGTTGTGCAGGGGAGGAAGGGCTAGAATACCCCCATGGGATGGAATTCTCATGGAATTTCCCACCAGGCTCACTCCCATGCTAAGGCGGGTTAGATGCCCTGTGCTCATGACTTTTCCAGCCTCATGCTAGCCATCTGGGGTATTCGGATGGCTCTTCTTATGGTAGTGTCATACCTTGGAAAGTGCTTAGCTTCATGACACCAGCGCCAGGTGCTTGGAGCAATGCAAGGACTGCATGCCAGACAGGTGGGGTGGGGAGATGTAGTGTAGGCAGAGACTCTGCCTCACTATGCATTAGTGGTGTCCAATTTTGAGAGCCGCTAGCCACCTGTGGCTGTTTGGCGGTTGAATGTGGCTAGCTGGCTCTCAAAATTATTTTTCATTTTCTGAATAATGTGGATAGTTCGCTATAGTGGCTACTGCTTCAGTACTGGTTGGACACCATGGAATTAGCCAGTCCCAGTCCCCACTTATGGAGTGCCCATTTTTACCAGTGTTACGGTACTACCCAGGAGGCAGTTCTAGTGTGCGCATGATTAATAGTGCTACGGTAATTAGGGAGTGTTGGCTGGTCAGAGGGGAAGGGTAATGTTGCATTCCATAAAGGGGTAACCCAAATGATTCTCCCTAGTGAGACGGGAGCCTCAGGAGAAGGTGGTGTATCCCTTTAAGCCCAAATGCACCTGGTCCTGCCCTGGGGTGCGTCCCACCTCTTGGTCCTTCCCATGAGCTGCAGCAAAAAGCACGTTGTAGCCCTGTGTGTGGACACTAGTCAGGATCAGCAGTGGGAGGGGAATGTAGCCTGGGGGTCTGACTGAGAGGGCCTGCTATTGCTAAGGTGTGTGGGGTCCTCTGGAGATGCAGGAATACAAATGGAGAATTAATAGGAGTAAACCATGAGCTGCGAAGGGCTCTGGATGGCACTGGCCCTATATAAATAATCAGGTAGTTGAAAAAAAGGTATGCTTCATAGGAAAATAGTGAAAGAAACAGTTTAACGCTATTTTTTCAAAAAGTTTTGATTTGATGGTGCTGGCAGGTAACGTGGCATCTCTGTTTATTTCTTCTTTTCCCCCTTTCTCCCCATGTTTTATTTTTCCCCAGGTGAGAAAAGAGAGAAACTATGGTCAGGGAAAGGGAGGGAGGGGAGTCCGTGGGATTGTTTTTCTCCCCACCAAAACAAAAGCTTGCAACTGTTTTAATTGAAAAGAAGAAAATGTCGATTAAAATTATGTTTCTGTGTGGCTGAGAAACAGTTTTTAGCTGGAAAAAGCTTTTTTGTGCAAGGGGTAGGAAGAGGCCTGGAAGTGGATGAATTCTGTAAATGGTCACAGGCATATTCCCATGGATCTCTTGGGCATCAGTGTGAAGTGAGCAGCATCCAGTCCCTCTCTGGGCTGCATGACAGAAAGCCAAACCCAGGTTGAGCAGGCTCTAAGTGAAGAGCAACAGCACCAACCTGACTGCAGGGCCCGGCCCCCTCTCTGTTAATGCTAGTGCTCTATCACCCCCTTCCTGCATGAAAGAGAACCCAGGTCTGGAGCTGGAGCTCCCTAACATGTGGGTTTCATACACAGAGTTTTGAATTAATTCAGATCAAGGTCTGGGTTTACACAGAGTTTTGATTTCATTCAGATCAAGGTCTGGGTTTGGATTCCAACTTCCTAGAAAGTGTGTGTATGTGTGTATCTGACTCCAGGGTTTGGTTTGAACCTGTCCCTATATTAGTCACTGATAGGGTACCCTGTGCCCCTGAAATCAGGTAGTGTCCTTGTGGGCAGGGCCGGTCCCTGTGTATGTAAAGCCCCTTGTGTGCTAGAGAGCTGAAGAAAGTGCCAGCCAGCTGAGCTGCAAAACGGACAATAAGCTGGCGGAGCCCAGGTGCACGAGAGATACCTGTACCTTCAGGTGTTTCATAGGCTGACCTCTCAGGTCATGTTCCACTGTCTCCTGCCTTTCCCCTTCCCCCACACAGTCTTTGAACCCAGCACCTCACGTGCAGGGCAGCAGGCCAAGGAATCTCTGCATGGCTGAGTAGCAAGAGAAATGAACAACCTCTTTTTCTAACCCTTCTGAGCGCATCTCCCTGTTGCACTCCCCAAGGCCCTTCCCTGTGCACAGCCTGGGGCAGGTGCCCTGGTTTTTCACTGTGATCATCTAATCACCTTAGCCATAGAAGTGTCATGCAGCAGAATTGAAATCCAGTCACTGACTGGTTGAAAATGCACTTGTGTGAGAGATCAAATCCCTCTCTCTTCTTGGTGTGCTCAGTAAAGCCCTAGGTCTGCCTGGCTTCTCTCCTGACGCTGTTTGTTTGCTTGTTTCAGGCAGTCTCTCCAGCTGAGAGTGACAGAGCTGGACATGGACAGTAATATAACTGAATACCGCATCAGTGGTGAGTACCTCTAACGAAGCACTGGGGGAGGGGCATTGGGATGGATTTGAGCTGGAATTCTCCTAGCTGGAGAACAGAAAACAGCTGCCTCTCTGGGTGTCACATGGGATCAATAAAACAGTGACCAGTTCTGAGCGGCTGGCATCGTCGTACTGCTAACACAGTATACACAACTGCAGAACTCACTTGGACAGGGTATTACTGAGGCTGCTAACTTGGGAACCTTTGTGAAATGGGGTTATTTCCCCCACAAAAAACAGTCAAGTGAAGGCCATAGATTCATATCTGTGGCTTGGAATGTTAATACACCCTCCGATGTTTAGCAAGCTGGGAACTGGCAAGTGAAAGGTTTGCTCCTGTCATGTCCTCACAACAGAGAGGTGCTGAGAATAAGTCATTAATACTTTGAGGTGCTCTGATGCTACTGTGATGGGGGCTGTATAAGGACTAAAACTTGTAATACTACTTACCTTGTACCTGGGGCTGCTTGCGTGTGTGTACAGTACTTCTCACAATGGTGTCCCAGTCCATGGTTAGGATTCCCAGGGGTGACACAAGTTATAGTGAATAGTAATAAATACTCCAGTCACCCCAGACCTGGACCAGGGTCTCCTTGAGCTTGGCACTGTACAAACAACACAGAGATGGTTTGTAGGTTGTCCTAAAAAGTGCACAGACAAAGGAGAGTACAAGGTAATGATGTGACAGTATTGGTCAGCATGAGAAACAGTGGCCACAGCATCCTTCGTGCTTTACAACCCAAGCAGATTACCAGTGATGGTCAGGGAAAAACTCCCTTTCTCTCCCAGCCTGTCAGAATAAAAGCCATTATATAGGCATTATGGCTTCCTCTGGAACATCCCTCACTGATTATTGTCAGAAACTGGGCATGGATGGAGGTGCATCTTTATTCTGCTCAAATACGGTATCCACAGGCTAAGATGAAGTCTTGGTTGTATATTTTTAAGACTGTTCAAGAGATTTTGCCAATGGCCCAAAATGCAGTTATAAGAAAAGAGTCTCTATGAGAGAAAAAGCCAGCTTTCTCTTTGTATCACTGGAAGCACAGATGTTATGGTGACATTCTGGGACAAGGACTTAATTTCTTGTTGCACATTGAGAGATGATTTAATAATTTTATTTGATGGATGCTGGCACAATGCAGCACCGATTGTGAAATGCACCATGCTGGAAGTCTTTTAGATTGACAGTGAAGAATACCGATTTTTTTTCTCTGTATTGCCAGATAGGCATAGGAAGCTTTCTCCCAAATTCATTTGGTGTCACCAACCCATTGGGAACTTGCCTTGTAGAAAGGACAACGTATTTCATACACACAGAGAGTTTGTTCTGTGTGTGTGCGTGCGCGCGCACCCACACCCATGCCCATCTATTGAAGTAAATTGTCCTAGTTCCATTGACTTGAATGGAGCACCGACAAATTATATCAGCTGAGCTTCTGGCTCACTTTGTGTGTATGCATGGGGCTGAAATGTATGAAAGTGGCCATGCACAGATTAATTCATAAGAGAGTGATGTGCTGATTGCAACACGCAGCATCCAGCTCTTCAGGAAACAAGCACATAAGAACTGCCATTTTATAGGAGAAGATAAATGATCCATCTGGTCCTGTATCCTGTTTCTAGCAGTGACCAATGCCACGTGCTCTGGAAGAAGGCTGAACTCAGTGCCCCTTTTTGCCTATAATTTGGGGTTGGGTGTTCCTTCCTGATCCAAACTGGTGGTTAGTTTGTGCTGTGAAGCATGAGGATTGAGAGCCCTTGTCTAATGTAACTTCAGATACCCTCGTGATTCACTTAATGATGATACCTAATCCTCTTCGTGAGTTTACTGAGCAGTGTTCACCAGGCAAAGCCAGGCCCTATTGCTCTGAAGTGAAACACTGTCACAAGAGCTCTTGTCCAGGAATTGCCAAACTGGATCCAAACTTCTGGTGCAATATCCTGGGTCTGACCATGGCCAACATCAGCTGCTGTAGTGGAAGGTGTGAGAGAGCCTGGAGCAGGTGGACGTGGGATAGTCGGCTGCACACTAGTTCTCATCCTGCTCAGAGGATAGAGAGTGGTTTCAGCGCGGAATCACGAGGTTTGATATCTCTGCCCCAAGACTCCACTCCTGACGACAAACTCCCCTCTCTTCTAGTCATTAGAAGCCCACGCGGATGGGAAGTAGGCCTCTATGTGACTGGCGCGCTTGTTCTGCTGGGAATAACTGCGCTGAACCTGTGGAAACTATGGAAATCCGGGAATTATCCAACGCCCTCTCCATTTCCCAACTACGACTACCGATACCTGGAGCAAAAGTACGGGACTGCGTATTCGGACCTCAAACTCAAGGTAAAAGTCCTTCCTTTTCAGGGTGACCAGCTGCCACGCATTCTCTATCAGCCACACTTTTATGAAGACACATAAGTGTGGAGAATGTAAGCCGCTCGAACCTTTTGTTTCCCCCTCAAGGTCTCAAATAGAGGAAGCGGCATCAAGCATTATTAGAGGTGATTTAAGTGCCAGGAATATGTGTGTGGAGGAAAAACATCTTACCCTGGCTCACAAGCTGGGCTAAATACATTGGGTCAGATCCTCTGCTGGTGTAAGTTGGCCTGACTCTGGTCATTCATCTGGCCCATTGGGTCCAAAGCCTCACATGCTCTTGTTACCAGCCGCCAGAGGCGGACTTCGATCTTCACTGCATGTCAATAGGACATCAGCCTTCTGAAGAATATCCTGACCTCGCTGCACTGTCCAATCCTGGTCTCCAGCATTCTTAGATATTGTTTTCCATAGACAAAGAGAGAACATAAGCTCTGGGTCTGGCTCCTGCATAGGAGCTGACTTAGCTCCTGATGCAGCTCTTGCCTCGTAAACAGGGAATGCCCTCAGATTATGGACATAGAGGCTCGGTCAGACACACTGCTGTCAGGAGGAAGGGGGAATTCACAATAGAAACTCTCAAGCCGCATGGTTAGCTATTCACACTAACAAAGGAAAGAAGACTCAAGGCTGGGTTATTGCTCGTAAGTCTGAGCAGGATGGGAGGTTAGACTGGAAGCGAGGGATGTGAAAGGTTCACCGGTAAGCCTAACCTTCAACGGGTGATGCTTGCCAGTTCCAGTTCATTGATGGGGCATGCCGCGGCCAGGGGCTGCTCTGGGTGTGCGGAGTAACCCATGTCCTCAGCAGGCTGGGTGGGGGTGCTCCAGCCTGGCCACTGGGGAGGGGGCAACTCTAGTCTAACCCCACCCCCACCCCAGATTGGTTAACCAGTTAAATGTGAAGTGACCATCACATTTAACTAGTTAACCAATTACCTGGGATTTTACATCTCTATTGGAAGCTACAATTCTGGGCTCCTTGTTACAGAGGACACTGTAGAAATGGAAGAGGCACAAGGGAGTTGAGAGCAGACAGAGTGATTCAGGGACTTTGACTTGTGTTTTGAAGCTCACTGCTGTCCGAGTGTCTATCCATCAATTTCAACGAGCTTTGGGTCAGGCCCTTTAGTGAGACAAGAAACAGAAGCCACTGGACACGGGGTGTTTATTAGTGAAAGGAGATGCTGTATGTAGGCTGAAACAAACAAGGGCACAGGAAAGCAAAAAGAAAGGCCGGGATTGTCTGATACCATGATGCAAGAAGGCAGGGAGCTGACCCAGTTCCACTGAAGTGGATGGAAAGACACTCGCTGACTTCATAGGAGTTGGATGAGAGCATCCTTTTAGAAAATGGAATTCCAGCCCCTGGGAAGTCACTGGATAGTATCATTAACCATGCAGAAAAATGCAAAAAGGTCCTTAGGAAGGTAGTGAATGAATGTGAAAAGCTAATGGCCAAAGATGTAAAAACAAATTGCATGTTTTTTACATCTATTGGAATCAAGAAACCTGCAAGAGAATTGGTGGGTTGGCTGGACCCAGAGCGGGTACATGGCAGAGCAACAAAATGATTGCTTTGCACTGGCCTTCCTCAAGACTGGTGTGGGAAGGTACTTTTCCCAAACCCATGCTAAAAGAACATATGACCCTGTGGATCCTTTCCAGTCATCAAGTTCAGTTCCCTGAAATTACAGGCAGCCCTGTCTTGTTAATGAACTTGTTAATCAAAGCTTCATCCTAACATCAATTAGATTCTTCAGGGGGAAGCCGAGTTAGTCTGAACAGGATAAACTTAAAAAACAACAAATGGTCTGGTAGCATTTTATAGACTAACAAAACATGTAGATGGGATCATGAGCTTTGGTGGGCACAGCCCCCTTCTTCAGATGAAGAAACTGAAAAACTCCGGACATCTGAAGAAGGGGGCTGTGCCCACCAAAGCTCATGATCCCATCTACATGTTTGTTAGTCTGCAAAGTGCTACCAGACCATTTGTTGTTCTTTAAGATTATCAATTAGATTGTTTGCCCCAACTACACCTACTGAGAGGCTGCCCCAGAACTTCCCTCCTCTGGTTATAAACCTTCTACTTTCCAGCCCACCTTTATTCATGGCGCTACTTTATACCCAGATGTTCTTGTGCTTGGCTTTCAGTTTACATAGCTCTTTTCTCTCCCTGCTGTTTTCCCCCTGGAGGTATTCCTAGAGAGCAGTCATATCCTTTCATTTTACTAGTCTAAACAAGCCATGTGCTTTGTAGTCTTCCCTCATTAAGATAGGCTCTCCATTCCACTGTCTAGCCTCCTATCTTGTCTCTGAGCCTGTTGCAATGCAAATTCATCTTAGTGGTACGACTGACAACTTTTTCAGTAGTACCTAGCCTGTTGCAATGCAAATTCATCTTTGTGGTACGACTGACAACTTTTTCAGTAGTACCTACGTTAAGAGCCAAAGTCTCATTAAAAGTCAATAGGATTTAGGGTTTCAATCACTTTGAAAATGGAACTTAGGCTCCAGGACTTCTTAGGCACTTAAGGAAATTTTAGCCTCACTCTTATTTATGGCCTAAATGCTACTGGGCAACATGATTAGACACTTGTTCAAGTTTGCTCAGTATGGGGCAGTGGTACATGTTATGTGTTAAAAGTGGCCCAAAAAACCAAAATGGGGGTGGATATGTGGAAAATTTTCAAAATGTTGATTTTTTTTTTTAAATTAACAATTTTTCTTTTTTTATCCTTGTCATCACATTTTGGTTCCAAAATGGAAAACAATTAAAACGTAATTTATTTTGAATATGTATTATTTACAAATTATTAAGCTGCCACTTAGTTGACTAATGAAAAGTTACCCTTGCAGCGAAATTAGGGATGGGAAGGGGTTTTAATTTCATATACAGGATATGTTCTAGTGCTTTAGCTAGTTTCTCTTAAATAGCATATGCACTAGGCTATACCACAGCCTAATGACGTAGCTCTGGTTAGGGAACTACCGTTGTATCTGTTGGCAGTTATATACTTAGACCTCTTAGCACACAAGAGCCCCATATGCTACATTTCAGATGCAGAGAGAAGTTCAGAGGAAACAGGTTAATCCAGCTGGAGTGGCTCTTCTGTTCTTTCCTATGTCTGCAGAGAGGGGGAGCCTCAAATCTCCGAAAGCCAGCGGAAAGGATGTCTCCTGTCCGCAAGCCTAGCCTGAAGATGGATGACACCTTTGAGAACATCAATGAGCTAGGTACCTTAGAGTTGATGAGCAAAGACCTAGATCTGGGTCCATTCGGGCCACTGAAGAAATCCGTGTCCACTGACTCCCTCAGCTCCATCTCCTCCATTGGGAATAACTTTGGCCAGGACTTCACTGTGGGCCAGGTGGAAGTCAACATGGAATATGATGTGTACTCCAACACCCTGCACGTCACGCTGCTGCAAGGGAAGGATCTCCTGGAGAAGGAGGACATCAACTTCGAGTCTTGCTTTGTGCGCATCAGCTTGCTCCCCGATGAACAAATCATTGGCATTTCCAGGGTAAGTGTCTATCACCTGCTCTTGCTCCCTGTCTGGAGACGTGCATGTTAAGTGAACTTGTATGGGACTAGTCATTGTTCAGGCTCTACAGAGCTCTGACAAGCCAGATGTCCAACCTCCTCGTGATGAATCTGCTGAGCCATTGGGGTCAAATTTAATGTTGCATCTCCTGCTGCTCCTCTTTCCTGATAGGAGGGTGATAGAGCAGCGCGAGTCAATATACTCAGGGTGGATGTATGATTTGTGAGGGGTGGGTCACCGAGGCTGGGCTGCTGGGAGTAATGGGAGGAGTATGGTAGCTGGAAGCAGTTGGCAGAGTGAGTATAACCCATTGCAACTTGGGGCCTCCTAGTGCTTTGAGACCAGTCTCAGAGGAGTAGCTGGTCAGTCTGCAGCCACAAAGATGACGAGGAGTCCTGTGGCACAGTAAAGATGAATCGATTTATTTGGGCATACACTTTCATTGGCAAAACCTCACTTGGTCAGATGCATGGAGTGGCAATGACAGAGGCAGGCATCAATATCCGAAAGGAAGATACGGGGCAGGCAGTGATGATGACACAGTGCGGTGTCATCTCGGTGGTTGAAGCATTGGGGTAGGTTCTCAATGCATGGTTGCTCCTTCCATAAGACCTACAGGTGAAGACGTGCACACATGCAGAACCACACTCTTGTCCTAAACTCCCTCTAAGCTGTGTGGCTGCGCCACTGCCTAATAAGCCCCACACAAGGGCTTAAGGCTGCTGCATACAGAGCTGCGGTGGCCAGGGGGAGAGGGACCTTCTATCCCCAGCAGTACAGACCTGCTGTAGCCAGGAGAGAGGCACCTTTCTCCCAGCTGGCAAAGAGGCGCCTCTCACCTGGTCTTGAGTTGCTGCAGTGAGAGAGGCTAGGGCAGAGCCGTCTCTTCCAGGCAAACCTGTGCTCCAAACCCCTCATGGAAGGGGTTGTGACCTAGTGCAGGGCCTGGGAGAGGAAATGGGTGCAGGAGAGGATTCTGAACTGGAGGAGGGGTGCAGGGTCTGGGAGGGGGTTGTGACTTGGGGTGGGGGTGCAGGGGGTTGGGTTGTGACCTGGGACAGGGGAGTAGGGTGCAGGGTCTGGAGGGAGTATGAGTGCAGGAGTGGGAGTGCAGAGGTTGTGACCTGGGGCAGAGGTGTATGAGGGGGAGCAGAGGGTTGGGGGAAGTAGGGGCTGAGGTGCCAGGTGTAGGCTCTGTCCAGAAGCACTTACCTAGGTGGTTCCTGGCCAGCAGCCCAGCAGGACCCTCAGGCAGGCTCCATGCCCCGCACGTGCTCGAGGTGGCCAGCTATGGGTCTGTGTTCTGTGACTGCTGCGAGCCATTGGGGGAGGAGAGAGCCACAGGCATTATGTGCTGCCTGTGCCAAGAGCATGGCCCAGGCAGCTCCCATTGGCCAGTTTCTGACCAATGGGAGCTGCAAGATTGTGTGGGCACTGAGCAAAGGGCCCCCCAGGGACTCGTAGTGTGCAGAGCACATGGTCCTGCAGCCTGCCACTTTGAGCCATGTGCGGGGCGGGGAGGAGAAAGGGAGCCTGCCCGAGGCTCCTGCTGGGCCACAGGACACTAGTGGTGGGCTGGATCCAGTGCTATGGCTGGTTGCATGTGGCCTGCAGGCTGCATTTTGTCCACCCCTGGTTTTAGACCGTCTCTTCCTATGTGTGTTCACAGTGCCCAGCACCATGGACCTCTGGTCCCAGCTAGGCTGCTAGCTGCCCCCATAATCCAAACAATAGTCATCCTCTTTAAGGAACAACCCTGTGCCGTCAGCCGAGAGGGTCAAGACAAAGGATGCAGTCGAGCAGTCGATTAACCGATAAGCAAATACTGTTGACAACACGCCTTTAAATGCAGGGCCTCAGCAGGGGACCTACCCCTGCTCTGCATTTAAAATGTAGTCAGAGTGGGGCGGGCGGGCAGCTGCGCTGCGTGGATCTGTCCAGCTCTTGCAGTCTCCAGCCTGCGTTCGAAGGGGCGCCTGGGGCTGCGGATTTCAGTCCTGGTTCTGGACTGCTGAGCAGCTGCAGGAAGATGAGCTCCAGCGTGTGCCCCCTATGCTCATTTTCCTGGGTGCCGTTCCTGCTGGTCGCAGCTCGGGGCACTGGTGCAATGTGGGTGGGGATTCAGGCTGGGGGGCTGCAGCCGTGCTACAGCCCTGGCATTAGTGGGCAAAAAGCCGTTCAAGTTGGTGACACCACATCTGCTTCTGCCAGCAGAGAATGTGGCCCCCTGGCTTCAAAGGCAGCGTCAGCAGAATTATTTGAGGACAGGTGCCACTCCTCAGCCTCAGTGGCTTTTTCTGTCCCATTCCCCACTTCAGAGCTGACTCAGCACTGCAGTCAGTGGAGGACTCCCAGGGGTTTTGGCTGGGTAAGGCCCCCGAGGTGCCACAATGAGCAGGGAGGCAGCTGCAGCACCGAGCAATGTCCCTGGCATGTCTGTGGGACAGGGAAAATATCATCCCCCCTTCCTGCTCGTCAGTAGCCCTCCCATTCCTGATGGTGAGTAATGAGTTCATCCCAAAAAACACCTCGGCTGGCGCAGGGGAAGCTCCAGGCAGACCCAGTTATAACTCATAAGCTTCTTCCGTGGAAGTGGCTTGTGATCCCATTTGTCTGTTCACTCACTGTAATGAGAGCAATTAAGTCTGTTCGAGGAGATGGAAAGGGCTGGAGTGGGAGCGTTGTTTCAATCACTTCCCCAGTCAGCGAGCCGCCGGCGCGCCCATGGAGCTGTCAGGAAGCCGGCGTGTGAGCCGTGGCCGAGCACCAGGGAGGTGCCATTTCCTGGCAAAGGAAATAGGGAGAGTCCAAAGTTGTCATGATACAGACCCGCTCCCCAGGGGATTGATACTAACTCTCACCAGTGGAGTATGAGAGCGTCTTGACTGGACATCTCCAGCATCCCCCCTCTTGGGCTGATCCAGGCTGCCTGCTTCACGGCACCACAGAGACATGAGGGGCCCCCCAAGCTGGGGCCTCACATCTTGTTTCTCCTGGCAGCTGTTTATAGTCCCAGGTACTTCCTAGCCCTTATTGCCGACAGTGACCTGGTGTCCCGCCCCCAGGAGCCAGCCTGTGCTCTTCCGCTGGTGCGGAGGGCTCAGGGAAAACGGATCACCCCAGGAGCACTTTGGCCTCCAAGTATGAAGAGACGGAGCTGCCCTTCCCACACGTGCAGCTCTAATTTGCTGCCGTTTCCACGAGGCAGGCGAGGGAATAGGGCAGGGCCGTGAATCAAATGCAGACTTCCCCAAGGAAGTCTTTGAGCCTCTAGTCTGTGGGGCAAACCTCTGCTGGCTACTGGTTGTATTTCTGTGCACTTTGCAGCCAGGAATGATGGGGAGGAAAGAGGGAGACAGTGGAAGACAAGTCAGATCAGAAAAGCAAAGAGGAAGGGCAGTTAGATTGGGCCCTAGCGTGTGCTTAACCAGAGTCTTCCTGTTGAAAGTCAGTGGAATTGCTCACATGCTTAAAGTTAACCCACCCACTTAAGTGTTTTGCTGTGTCAGGGCCTTTGCCTCCTGCTCTGAGCCCACTCCTGCACTCCAAACTCCTTGGCCCTAACTTGAAGCCCCCTCCTATATCCCAAATGCCCCATTCCAGTTCTTTCATCCCTCCCACTCTGAGGCCCTCCCACACTCCAAACCCGCAGCCCCATCCCTGCCACGGATCGTCCACGTGCAGATTGAATTTGGTTATGCGCACCAATATGGAGGTGATATGTAGGGATGTAAGTGACTACTCGACTGCATACTCTCTCTCCCTCCCTCCCCCGGCTGTGTCTGTATCAGAGGCTGCAAGGGGAGGGGGAGCAGGAGCCAGTGCTTAAAAGCTGGTTTCCCCCCCCCCCCCCCCCCCACCCCCC